AACAGCTCTCAAGTAGAGGATCGAATCATAGCCAGATCTCTGGGTGACAGACGAATAGGGGAAAAAGCATAGAAGTGCAATCCCATCCAATCTGAGCTGAATGCATCCATCACCAAAGCCCGATGATGAGATACCAGGGACCAAAAATGCCTGTAGTTGAGAGTTTCAATGAGTGGCAAATGCATCAATCATCGGAGTCCCAAACTGAGAGCAAATCCATTTGAAAACTTGACAAAGGAGCATCCATTCAGTTGGGAGAATTTGATTGGGGTGATCTGCTATGAAATTCATCACCCTAGGAACATGACAAGCCAGGAGGTTGATATGATGGGAGTGACCCCAGTAGATAAATATTCAAAGTTCAAAAAGAAAGGTCCCAAGAACAGGTGCCCCCATGATGGGAAACTTAATATACCACTGTGGGATTGATAGAACGAATCATGATGATTTTCCCCTGGACTAGATCTAGACAGTGAACCATTGGCTGTTGGACAGCAAGAAGTTCTAAATTATGAATGTGAAAGGAAGATTCATCTTCAATCCATATACCAGGAATCCCTGACCTTCGATACATGCACCCCATCCCAGAAGTGAGGCAAACTGGGAAAAGATTAAACTTGGGATGAGGGGGTGGTATAGGAACTCCGATGGTAGTATTGATCCAATCCAATCACCAATTGAGAACTAAGTTGTTGCTCCTGAGGAAGGAGATTGGATGATCCAGTGGATTGGAATTCCTGATCCATTGGTCACACAGTGACCACTGAGGGGACTGCATGTGTGCTTGTCCCAAAGGAGTCAGAGATTGGAGGGATGACCACATCCCCAAAAGAGATAGAACCATCCACATAAGTAAGAGCCTGACTGCCCATTCCATAGCCTGGAGCAAGATGGGAGTTGGCTGAGCCCAGCTTAAAACATGTAGAAAAAGACACCCAGATGGCCAATATTTTAAGACAGCAAGAAAATTAATTTCTTGGCTCTGATAAGAAAGCCAGCCTCGGTGGCTTCTGAAAGGAGAATCTGAGTGTGTTGTTCTGCCAACTGACGAGATGGTGCCAGAAGTAACCAGTTGTCCAGATAATGGAGCATGCATAGGCCCAAGATATGAAGGTGACAAAAAAACGTGTACATCTCTGCAGAAGACATATGGTGCAGATGCTATGCCAAATAGATCCCTGAGCTGCAGAACCTGACCCCTGTGCATGAACTGTAGATAGTAGCAGGATGACTTCACTATGAGAATGTGGAGAAATGCATCAGCAACATCAAACTTGGCCATACACAGAGTTGGTTAAAAATGCCAACAAAGGTTGAGAAAGGACTCCATTGTGAACCTGAGAGGATCTAAGAAATGGTAGAGATGAGAAAGATCAACGATTGGCTCCAATCTCCTGTTCTCTTGGGCACAACAAATAAATGGGAATAAAATCCCAGAAGAATGGGATTGACTCTCACTACCACCCCTTGACCAATAACTCTCTGAGAGATCTGGAACGAAGATCCACTCTCCACTGATCTGTTGGGGGTGGAAATACCATAGGTTGGGAGGATAATGGAGGTGGAAAAGTTAACAGAATGACCAACCGAACACCAGAAGCTGAAGTACCCATGGATCTGTGGTTAAGGAATTCCAGGTGTCCTTCAATTATTGTAACCTCACTCCAAAAACCTCACCCATCTAGGGTAGTCACCTACACCATTGGCAACAGTCTGCCCAAGCAGAGGAGCATTGAAACTAAGAACGAAATCTATTCTAAATATCCAAAGAGCGAGGAATAGAAGCCGAGGGTTGGAATAAATGATGAGAAGTCATGCCATGACATCCAGCAGGTGCTAAAGAAAGTCTAGAGGCCAACAACAACAAGGAAAAAAGCAAATGGTTGACATCAATTTGTGATTCCAATTTCGCTGGGATACCTGCAAACATCAAGAGATGAAATAAGGGAGCCTCATGTAACTCACAGAAAGCTACAACAGGTAGACAAAATCCCTCAATAAATCCCAAAACAGTCAGAAATAAATTCTCAAAACTTGATTTGAGGGAAAATGAGTGGACTGGACCAAAAGGACATTCAGAGATATTCTTCTCAGCAGGGTACTACTTCATCCACAATGCTATACGATACTCAGGTATACAATGTACTGTTCCTCAGTCTAACTGCTATAGATACTCAGGTATACAATGTAGCTATTCCTCAGTCTTACTGCTATATGATACTCAGGTATACAATGTACTATACCTCAGTCTAACTGCTATATGATACTTAGGTGTATAATGTACTATCCCTCAGTCTTGCTACTATATGATACTCTGGTATACAATGTACTATTCCTCAGTCTTACTGCTATATGATACTCAGGTATACAATGTACTATTCCTCAGTCTTACTGCTATATGATACTCAGGTATACAATGTACTATACCTCAGTCTAACTGCTATACGATACTCAGGTATACAATGTACTGTTCCTCAGTCTAACTGCTATACGATACTCAGGTATACGATGTACTGTTCCTCAGTCTAACCGCTATATGATACTCAGGTATACGATGTACTGTTCCTCAGTCTAACCGCTATATGATACTCAGGTATACTATGTACTATTTCTCAGTCTTACCGCTATATGATACTCAGGTATACAATGTACTATTTCTCAGTCTTACCACTATATGATACTCTGGTATACAATATACTGTTCCTCAGTCTAACCGCTATATGATACTCACGTATACGATGTACTGTTCCTCAGTGTAACCGCTATATGATACTCAGGTATAGAATGTACTATATCTCAGTCTTACTGCTATATGATACTCAGGTATAGAATGTACTATTTCTCAGTCTTACTGCTATATGATACTCGGGTATAGAATGTACTATACCTCAGTCTAACTGCTATATGATACTCAGGTATACAATGTACTATTTCTCAGTCTTACCACTATATGATACTCAGGTATACAATGTACTATTCCTCAGTCTTACTGCTATATGATACTCAGGTATACAATGTACTATTCCTCAGTCTTACTGCTATATGATACTCAGGTATAGAATGTACTATACCTCAGTCTAACTGCTATATGATACTCAGGTATAGAATGTACTATACCTCAGTCTAACCGCTATATGATACTCAGGTATACAATGTACTGTTCCTCAGTCTAACCGCTATATGATACTCAGGTATACAATGTACTATTCCTCAGTCTTACTGCTATATGATACTCAGGTATACAATATACTATACCTCAGTCTAACTGCTATATGGTACTCAGGTATAGAATGTACTATTCCTCAGTCTTACTGCTATGTGATACTTAGGTATACAATGTACTATTCCTCAGTCTCACTGCTATATGATACTTAGGTGTATAATGTACTATCCCTCAGTCTTGCTACTATATGATACTCAGGTATACAATGTACTATTCCTCAGTCTTACTGCTATATGATACTCAGGTATACAGTGTACTATTCCTCAGTCTAACCGCTATATGATACTCAGGTATACAATGCACTATTCCTCAGTCTTACTGCTATACGATACTCAGGTATACAATGTACTATTCCTCAGTCTAACCGCTATATGATACTCAGGTATACAATGTACTATTCCTCAGTCTTACTGCTATACGATACTCAGGTATACAATGTACTATTCCTCAGTCTAACTGCTATATGATACTCAGGTATACAATGTACTATTCTTCAGTC